ACTAAGGATCCGGCCATACACGAAAAGCATGGCAGTGAAAAAGAAGTGCCTGCAGGAAAACAAACATTATGTTTTCTAAGCCAATAGTTTGCTAACTGCAACAAAGACGATACTTTACCAATTCAGCTGTTTGATCCCAGGGAGACATTTATCCTCGGGTGCTTTCCTGAGCAGATTAAAGAGCTCTTTGGCCATAAAGATTTGGATAACAAGCACCATGGCAGTGATATAGAGATGTCCCATGTAGACAACCATGACGAAACCGGCAATCATCCATAGTGTAGAGTAAGTTCGGACCATGAAAGATTTGTACTTGTTTCGATCATTAACAAGCAGAGGACTTGCACTCACTTTGTCCCCATCCAGAACCTAACCAACAAAAACAACCGCAAATAAAAACATTAAACTCATTAAACTTACTTTCACTCTTTTTCTTTTACCACTGATGAGCTAATTTACCATTAGTGTGTTACTGTTGCAAGAACGATACAGTGCAAAACACGAGAAAGAAAACCAACACAGAATTTAACTTGGTTCATCAAATTGGCTACGTCTTGAATAAATGAAAAAAAAAAACTAACACAGAATTAACATGGTTCATCAAATCGGCTACGTCCACAACCATACAATGGAAACAGATGAATAAACGCGAAAAGGAGAACTAACCAACACAGTGATTTAAAGTGGTTCATCAAATTGGTTACGTCCACACGTAAAGAGAGATGTTTATTATCTGGAAGCAGTTTTTCAGGTTACAAGATATACAAAAAAAGTACCCCCATCCTATAACCCTAGCAGTAAGGGCAATAGAGTAATGAACAAAAAATAAAATAAAAGCACACCCGTAACAGACTCGTGGGCATAGACATTAGTAAGTATGACTAAGCTAAAACACAGCAGCCTAATATAACAGATCTCTAACTAACTAATGGTACCGACTCATATACCAGATTCAATGCATTTAATAAAATGAAAAGAAACAAACCTCAGTAGATGAGCGTTTTCGATGCCTAAGCCTTTGTACGGGTGTTGAAGGCGAGCTAGTAACGTTACTCTCCTCTTCCATAACGACTTTTGTATATATATATTATTATTGATTTTTCGCCGAATTGAATCAAGAGGAGAACATCTGTTTCGCAAAACAAATAATATGAAAATCAGATTCCAAGATGAGAAAACTAAGGAACAGTTTGTGTGGATATTAGCTTGCAACCAGGGTTCGATTAAACTCAGATTCCATCCAATAGAGAGGATTTTAATCGGCTTTTTTCATTAGTAGAAGCCTAAGGTACTTAAACACTATACAGAGTGAAGAGATTCGAATTCAAACGCGCATACCTCTTCCTGAGACCGAAGGTTTTGAATAAGGGGAAGATCGGAGAAACACACACACAAGCGCGACGAGAACGATGAGATTTGCAGAGAAGGCGAGAGATTGAATATTATTATTAAAAAAAAAAAGAATATTGTGGAAAGGAAAAGCAAAGCGAAGCCAAGCAGAAAAATATCAGCAAGAGATTTTTTTTTTTTTTTATTCCTTTTCTCTGGTAGGGAGAGATAGAGAGAGAGAGTAAACACAAGGCTTTAAAGAATCATTTTGATTTTAATTATTCAACGTCACGAAACTAAAAATGATTATTTTATTTATTTTCTACACATCTGAAAATTCTACTTTGTTGGCTTTTTATATAATTTTATCCATGAAAATGAAAAAGAAGACTTCAAATTATTTTGGAAACCTAGTTGTAATCTTTCTGTCCAACTCTACAATTCCACAGTCCTAACTGTTTTAAGCTTTTTAGTTTATTTAAATTACATATTTTATCCCATTATATATAAAGGTTGGTAAAACAACAACTGTCTCTATAACTCCACATTATTGGGACATTTCTGTCAAGGTATTTGGATGTTTTTTCTGCGTCCTCCAAGAATCTCTTTTGCTATTATTCTACAACCATTCATTGAAAGAAAGTAAGTCACTATGGGACACAAACTTATGTGGTACGATTACTTCCTCAGTGATTTGCTACATGGTCAATTTTGTCTTTGTTCTTCCAAAATGTTTTCCATGGAAATAAATCTTTTAATTTGTTATGCTTTTCTTGTATGTGAAATAAACAACTTATTAGAGCATATGAACAATGCAGGATTTTATAGGGGTGCTTAGGTGGGAGGGAACCACAAAAAGGGGAAAAACCAAGAAGCATGCTGCCTAAATTGCTTGAATAAGCAGCAGAGCTTGTTCTGTTCTGCGGGCCCCATGTCACGTGGCGGCCCGCGATTGGTGAGCTTTTTAATTTTTTTTTTTTTAAACGAAAAAAAGTAAAAAAGAAAAAGAAAATAAGCACTCCATATAGCATTAATCATGCTCTTAGTTGTTAGAGTAAGAGTTTGCATGGAAAAGGAAAACGTGCAAGCAAAAGTAGGTTGTTTTTGTATTTATCGATTTACTAGAGAAGTAATTGCTTAGAACTCTTCACTAATCTCAGGTAGGATTATAAATCGAGCTGGTCCGGCCCGACTCAAAATCCACAAAATCCATTGTTATTTATGTCCGGCCTGGTGAGTCCGCCAAAATTTTAGAATTTCAAAATCCAGTCCTAAATGGGGGAGAAGAATTTCTAGATTTTTTGAGCTTTTAAAAAAATAAAAAAAAATTGAATATATTAAATTTAAAATCAAAATTAATTTAATGTTAAATTTAAGCAATCATTCATATGTTATAAAATGCACAACTTAAATAAATGCATTACCTAATAAACCAAATAAATGGTACTAGTGATTATAAAATTATAGATAAAAAAAATCAACTCTAAGCAATATAAATTACAAGATCAAGATTATGATGTTCATCAGTGACTTTCATATTCTCATTGTCATAAAAAAACTACATAGAAAAATAGAAAATATTAATTTTGACATATATATCAATATAAAATAAAATTTTGTAAATATTAACATGATCCTAGATCCCGGAATATAAATCTTTCCAACTAAGTATGTGTACAAATCAGTGCTTCAATGTATCATGGAAGGAGGCAACTTCTAAATTTATTTACGACATGAACAATAATGCTAAAACTAGATTTTTACATTAATGTAGTTTTCGGAATTCTATAATTATTTAAAATATGAGTGCTAATTCTATATTTGTTTAAGGAATGAAGATGATTGATATATAATTAAATAAATTATACTATTATTTTGGGTCGGTCTTAGCCAAAACAGACTTAAACCCAAAATAGTTAAAGTTCAAATGGATTAAGTCCAAAAATCTTTTTTGGGTTTATATAATTAAGCTCAAATCCGCTAATTAACATGACTAGACACATTCGGGTTCGGTTTGGACTTTGGACTTTGACCCTAATTGACATGTCTAATGTCAGGGTCATTCTGAGTTGTACGGATGAAAGTGATATTTTAAAATTTAGGTCCACTAAAATTAATTTACTAGTCCATTATAAGCCTTGTGATGAAGTTAGCTCAACACTTTCTAAGAAAGTGATCGTTCTTCTTCGGTTGATGATGAAGAGGAAAAAGATAAACGTCTTTTCGATTACAAATCTAACCCTTCGAAGTCGCTACTAATTTTTATTCAACTATTGTAGAAATGATCAAAATGATAAATGGAAGATCGAGAGAAGGAACTTGATCGACCTAACATGCGTTGAAGATTGTATCAATCTGGATATTTAACTACTTGGTTCATATTGCACAACTCAGTAATTTTTTTCTCACAAACATGATCATGGATGTGGAAAAAGTTACTCAAGTACAGAGACATATATAGCAAAACATTTCTAAAAAATGAAAGTACATAATGGTCACAAGGCATCTTTTTGGTTTGAAACTGGACATAACAAGGCTGTTTAATGGGTATTACAGGCAGGAGGGGAGTAATCGATATGGGTATACCATTCAACTCAACAATAGCGTAGGTATGGTCCATCAGACGAAGGCGGAGGCACATGGATGATTAGTTGCAAGCGGTTGAGCAACTCCTTCTAGCTAAGTATTAAGAGCATGACCAATTGGTAGAAGACAAAGTGCTATGTAAACCTGAAGGACCTAGAACCCAAGATTTCGTACAAAGGCAACATGAGACCATCTAAGAGTTCATCACCCCAGAAATATACGGTTTACACATGCAACTCCTCACTACACGTTATGCACTTGGCTTGCAGTGCACAATTTTCTAGCAACAGAATGGGCAAGTGGAACGCTGCTTTCAGCACGGTATGTGGCATCTTTCAAGACCCACTAGAGATTAGAAGACCACTTATTCTATTCATGCCCCTTCTCACTCAGACTATATGGACTTGGCTCAAGTGCAACCTGCTAGGAGGTGATTTTACTATAGACTTGGAGGCATGGATTCTATACACGATCATCTCGTAAGCTTCGTTAGCAAGTATGTCTTCCAAGCCACTGTTCATACCATCTGGCGGGAACGAAATGCTAGGAGACATGACACTTAGAGCATGTACAACGGTGTATTAACGCAAGTCCTTAGATATAATCCTTAAGTTTAGATATAATCCTTAAGTTAATTAAATATAATATTAATATAAACCTAAGAAAAGCTACGGACTCATCCTTAGCTAAGGATTAATTTCAGTTGGTCCTTGTTGACGTGGCAAGTGCAAGTGATACGGGTTTCATGACTTTTGTAAAAACAACTTTCATTTCGAGACGAAACTGAAAAAAAAAAAGTTGTCTCCGATAGAAGGGATTGTGCTCACCTCGGATTAGAAGGTAAATCGAAGGGTTGTCTTGTTGATTTAGATTAGGTTGCATGTTGTTTTCTTTGCAATATAGGGTTCGGATTACGTTTTTCAATCGATTTGGGTTTAGGGATTTTTGAGATTTGTTGATTGAAACATTTTGTTTGTGAAAATCTTAAGGAAATCGAAGCTGTATCGGTTCGATAAAGAGACGATTCAGTGGAAGGAGAGAGGTGGTGGTACTGTGAAGCTCTGTTTGTTTGCTTAAGGAGAGAGATGGTGGTACTGTAAATCTTAAGGAAATCGAAGCTCTGTTTTTATCTTCTCCTTTTGGAACTGTTTTTTGCAGTGAAACAGGGGATGAGTGTTCAGGAACATGTTGGAAATGAAATGTCTTGTTCTTATGGATTCGTTTATATAATAAATTATTTATTCTGAGTATTTCAATTTTTGTGTTTGTAGGATTTGAGTAATGTGTTCTCGTCTGCGTTTAGTTTTGGAGATAGTTTATATTTAGTTTATGAGTTATATGTTTAGTTTAGGTTTCTCATAGCGTTTTTTTTGTGTGTTTATACAGATGGTGAAGCTTTAAACTTTTGACAAGTTTGACAACACGTCTGACGCTCTTGAAGCTGTGGCTAAGTTGTTGGAAGGAGCTCCCAGCAAGGGTCTCCGTAAGTTTATGAAAGCTAACTTATATATGGGTTAGGGGCTCAAGACTTGGCTCCTTCTCTTGCATCTCCTTATGCTTAGTTTTTATTTGGCAGGTTGATACAATGATTATCCAAGCTATTGGTCTGCTTGATGATCTTGACAAAGACCTCAACACTTACGCTATGAGGGTTCGTGAATGGTACGGTTGGCATTTTCCCGAGCTTGCCAAGATCATAAGTGACAATATCCTATATGCTAAGTCTGATAAATTAATGGGAAATCGGGTTAATGCAGCAAAGCTAGACTTCTCTGAGGTAAAGCCTCAATTCAATGGTTTCATTATAGACTGCTTTAGAGCCTTTCCACATAGTATTACACTTTCTTCACAGTGTATTCAAGCTTGATAGTAATACAGTTATCATGTTCAGGAGTTGTCTATGGCTGCTAAATTATGCTTACGTTAAATTAGAAAGAGCCAACGATCTTTTGGTAGTTAGGCATGTGTTTCGGCTGTATCTAATTTGATATGCCATGAACTTAACAGTTTAGGGTAAGATCTACTTTTTTATACTGGGTTGTATTATTTCCAATGGTTTGTAAAGATGATAATGTCATGAACCGATGAGTTTTTATAAAAAAATTTCACAAGTTTTATAATTTCTTATTTTTTTATTCCTAAGGACTTTTAATTGGATAATACCATTGGACACATATTTTTGATTAAAATCCTTAACTAGTTAAAAAAGAAAAAAATACTAAAATAAGGCTAAGGACTCCAATGGTGATAACACCATTGGAGATGCTCTTATGACCATGTCCGGTCCCTGCCACAAGCAAAATAACCAATGGTTTAGGGCCCAAAAAAATTATGGGAGATATTTAAACTATAGATTGTCTTAATTTTTTTTTACAAATTTGTTAATAAGAAAAAGATCCATTTTTCTAAAATGAATAGGACCTTACTTTGGAATGGACCGTGTCTGCTCATGATAATGACAACGGATCAACTCATTTGTTAGATTGACAAACATGCCAGGAATTCTGTAGCCCCATCAGAAAGGAAAACTCATCAACCGATTACAGGTATAATTAGCCGCAACCTAGAGTTGCCTGCTCAGATTTATGCCCTCTGGTTTTGCCTCTAATCTCTAGTTGCTGCTACAAGAAGAAAAAAATGATGCAACAAGTTGGACAGAAAACATTTTTTTATGATGAATTAATTTTACAATCTATTCAAAAAAGAAACAAGTTTGTATTTGAATTAATTTGATGTTACAATTATTATAAAAGGTATCGGAAGTCAATAATTAATTTGTTCTAACTGAAAAAAAACTATCAATATTAAAATTGATCAAGTATAAACGAGTTCGTATAAATGCCAAAATTATGATATCGGTCTAGGTTTCTTGTTTGGAAACTATAGACTATGAGATACAGATATAGGTTTTTCACAATCCTCCTGGAAATTAAGGCTGGACACAAATGCTTGATACTGTCTTGTACTCGTTATTTGACTCGGTTTGATTAAAAAAAACAAGTACTTGCTATAAACAAGTCGAGTAACAAGTAAGCGAATTTTATTACTCGCAAGTACAAGTCAAGTATCAAGTTCTTTTTTATTTTTAATTACTTGACTTGTTACTTGGTTTGTTACTTGATATCCTCTACTTGTCCCATTATTTGTTATATATTATTTGGTTTATTAAATAGTTGATATCTATTTTATTAACTAATTAAATCTGTATTACATTATATTTAGTGACCGTACAAAATTATTCGTTGCTAGCTTCCTCTTCGTTACTTTATAGGTATATGATTTTTAAAGATGAGTATTTGTTCACCGAATTAAGTATCAAGTTGACTTTGTTTATATTTATAATTATGTATTAGGATGCATTCTTAAATTACTTGTAATTATAAAACAATATCATATAATAAAATAAAATTGATTACTTGATTTTGTTTTGTTTGTTAATGAACTAAGACAAGTTTTCCTAAATCATAATAAAATAACTCGTTTATACTTTTACTTTCATTAGTGCATCAACATAAGTTTTAAATTTATATAAGCATCTTTAAAATTTTCTATTTTTTATATAATCTATTTTTTGAAATGACTAAAATATAAAAAAGAAATATCAAATAATCTTCTCTATTAAAAGAAAAGTACCATTTTTATCTACTATAAAATAGTCATACTAGGTCTATATATTCAGTTACATTGTTTTGCTTATTTACATAAGTTTATCTAATGTATAACATTTGTAAGTAATTATAAAGATGATAATAACACATTTATTTTTAACTGTAATTTTAAATTTTAGTTTTAGTAATCACAACATCTATTGAGACAAAATCTAAGAAAATCTTTTTAAAAATTTAAATAGTTTTTTAATTAATGCACTGATTAATTTCGTAATTAGTAATATAATATTATTATACACTAATCTTAATTAAAATTGATTACAAACAAAAATATAGTATATGCTAATTTTATAAATTTATAAGCATAGTCTATATTATATTAAAATAGAAATAATAAATGAATTACATATGACTTACCTTTTAAAAAGATTAAACATTCGTAAATTATGCAATAAATTTTACAGAAAATAAAATTGCTAACATATATTAAATTTTTATAATTAAAAAATGAAAGATTTCCCGCACGGATGTGCGGGTTCAAAATCTAGTTTATCCTTAAATTCTAATGAATAATCAAATAATTTACCAATAATTATCAGTTAAATTGTAAGTAATTCACAAATAACAAATAATAAAAAATAAGTAACATGTAAGTCCGATAATTTTTTGCAAGAACTTGAAACTAAAAGTACTCGTTTTTAACAAACCTAAGTACAAGTCAAAAAATTTAATATTCGTACAAGCCAAGCCGAGTATTAAGTATATCAAAAATATCAAGTACTCGGTTTGTTCCCACCCCTACTGGAAATGGGAGAATTGTTTTCGTGTAGTCTTCCAGGAAATTCGACCGAGAATGTTTGTTGCGACTAAACAAGTTTAGTTGACATTCAATCATATGATTTCTTATTATTTTAAGTATTTAAAAACAAAGACATGTATGGTTTATTTATTCATTTTGAATTATATAATCTAAAAAACTCACGTCTTATATTTGCTACTAGTAAATGAATAGTACTTGTCAAATTTTGACCTGATAGAACAAATAAATTACTTTCAAAACATTTGTGGTACAAAAAACATTTAATGATTAAAAATGTTAATTAAATAATTGTAATTGGTTACTACTTTGGAAGTTTTCTATGAGATTCTTTTAAACATAATGTATGGAGAGACCAAAGCATCAACTTTGAATAATTTGTATTCCTTAGCTTTCATAAAAGCGCTTCCAAGAAAAAGTAAAATTCGTATTCCCTAACTTTCATAAAGACTCTTTCTTAAAAACATTTTTATTAAAGATAACTGTTTAAACTTTAGTACTAGTAAACAAAAAAATGTGATATGATAATTACAACAACTGGTTTCCCGTTTCATTCATAGTAATATCGAATAAAGAGATAATGTAACACTATATAAGTTATACTCCTTTCGTTTCAGTTTATTTATCAGAAAGTGTTTTGCACGCACATGTAAATTTAGTAATTTTACTAATATCTCTAAATAAATAAATAATTAATTTAAATATCATTAAAATAAATTAGGTTCACACATTCAAAGTATTTAATACAAAATTAAATGAATTCTTTCTATATAGAAAGTTTTTCATCATAATATAAATAACTTTTATTACGTAAAATAAAATGTGAAAAGACTCATATATTTGAAATATTTAATAATAGATTAAATATAAATTGTTTTAGACATGACAAAAAACTTTTGGTATAGTAAAATTATCTTTAATTTTATAAAATAAATTTGAAGCACTCTTGTATACATAAAATTATATACAAAATATATATGTAGGGATTTATCTTTCTTTTCTTTTTAAAAAAATAATGTAAAATAATTTTTTTGGATAAACACAATATAAATAATTTTATATATAATTATAAAATGAATTAAATTCGTTATAATTAATTATATATTAACAAATATAATTATTTTCAAGGGTGATAAAGACTTTATAACAAAATTAAATATATTTCTAGATAAGAATCATTATCAAATTAATGAAATTTGTTTTTATAATTAATTATATATTAACAAATATAATTACTTTTCAAGGTTAATAAAGACTTTATAACATATTATAAAATATTTTTAAATAAGGATAGTTATCAAATCACTGAAATTCATTTTTTATTTATGATTAATTATATATTATTTTTAATTATTCATGATATGTAATTATGTTCTTATCTAGAAATTATGTTAAATTAATTATGTTCTTATCTAGAAATTATGTAAAATTAAATGTTTTCTTAATTTTTGTGCACAAATCTAAAACGATAACTAAAGTGAAATAGAATGAGTATACTATAAACTAACACTTTAATAGTTACTAGTTGCATACTCTCCGCGCTTGCGCGGGGCCGGAATCATTATGTTTGCGCATATTTTTTTCGATTTAGTGATTTAGTGTATTCTAATGACACCAAATATTAATGAAATGGAAAGAATGTAGTAAGAGTGTACAGTGAGAATATTGTATATCTAATGTGTTAAATGTTATTTATATGCGAAGTAAGGTTTATAGGAACACTTAGGTTATAATCTAGTTTTTAGTGTGTAAAAGTAGGTGTCTATTTTTTTTTTTTGCTGTAAATAGTTTCTATATCGTATGTCAAAACTTGATATAATTATATATTTATAGTATTTATATTTGTATTAAACGATTTATCAATTTAAAAATAACCTTAATTAAGTTAATATTCGTTGTTTAAGTTTCATTAGATAGGTTTTTATATATGCTTTTTTGTAAGTTTGGGTTTTGTTCATAAATGATGTGACATTTTTATCTACGGCGTCATCGAGGAATCCATTCGCCGAAGTCTAGAGTCGGTGGTGAGGAATGTTTTCAATGAAATTATAGTAGTTATTAAAATGTAAGAGAAATTGCATATTCATTTAATAAATAACGAAAAATACTTAAATTTTGTTGTTTATTTTATTTTATTTCACATACAAATTTTTGAAAATATATTAGGAATGAGTTAAATGTTATTTATATGCGAAGTAAGTTTATAGGAATAGTTAAGCTATAATATAGTTTTTAGTGTGTAAAAGTAGGTGTTTTTTTTTTGCTGTAAATAATTTTTATATCGTAGGTCAAAACTTGATATAATTCTATATTTATAGTATTTATATTTGTATTAAAAGATTTATCAATTTGAAAATAACCTTAATTAAGTTAACATTCGTTGTTTAAGTTTCATTAGATAGGTTTTTATATATGTTTTTTTTGTAAGTTTGAGTTTTGTTCATAAATGATGTGGAATTTTTATTTACGGCGTCATCGACTGTGGGAATATGTGCAATGATT